GTCGGAAGTTAGCAAAGTTTCCACTCTCTATTCGCAGACTGGCTCCCTTTGCCCCGGAGTCCGGACCATCGAAGCCTGTGGATATTCCGCATCTGTTGATGCTGCGGTTCCTGGGCAGCGTCATCTGCAACTCATCATTTTCTGAAATATTGCTCTTTTGCATACCTGCTGCAGCCGTCTGTGTCCATTTCAGCAATTGCTGTTGTTTCTGCCCGGTTAACAGAACTTAATTCCGAGCGATCAGACGGAGTCGGAAAAGGAGGAAAAGGGCGAAGGAGGTGGGGGGGGGATTTCAATCAGCCGGCGGACGCCACCGCAGACATAATTTATTGCCACTTTTCGCAACGATTTTCATTTCTCGCATTGATGTTTTCCTTAAGTGTTCTCCCGGGAAGAAAAAGGAGAAAAAAAAAGAAGGAGGAGGAGGAGGAGATATCGCAGGGCGGGACTAATTGATTGCGGGATGCTCCAGGAACTGTTCACCTAGGCGGGCGAAAGTTAATTGGCCTGGTCCAGACAGTCGGACACGCAGCACAGGTACTTGCCAGTTGGCCACTTAAGTGCGCTTAATTAATGCAAGCCGAATTCCAAATTCCGAGTCCCGAGTGGCAATTGTATTGGCAGCAGGATTTCGTGTCGCATTAGATGCGCATCGGGGGTAAGAACAACAAGCGCGTCGCCTGTTCTTGCCCAGGATCTCTGGCAAAGTAAACCACTTAATCGACATCGCGCAGGGGGCGGGGTCAAGTGGCCAAGTGTTGTGCAACTCCCGCCTGTTTTGGCCAACTTCACGGGGATTCGGTAGTAAATTCACTTACCTGAGAGGACTGTGGTTTTGGCTATTGCAAACCTTACTTAAGATTAGATCGAACCTTAAAAAAATACATTATTGAAAACTTAACTCAACATACTCGTATGTACTTGGAAAAATATATAAAATATTCCTATAAATATTTAACAAAATTAATTTAATTGTTTACTATTTTAACAAGGCAATATGAATCTGGCTTTACTTCAATGAAATCATTTCAGTAAGAGCAAACCAATTTCGGTTAAGTCTTCCCATTTTCCTGCGTGGGTTGTTTAGTCGCCGTTGAATGTTTAGCGGTGGTTGTCAACTGACACCGTCAGTGGGTTTTGGTGGCCCAAGTGGGTGCAGTTTCGGGGCGGAGGTGTCTCCAGTCTGGATTATCCTTTGTTGGGCATCGACAAGCCAGCCAGCCAGCCAGCGAGGAGGAGCTGAAGAACATGGAACCGCTTCGTGTTGGATTTCTTGTTTCTACTCCACCCGCACTGAGCCACGCACTTTTTTTTTTGGATTTTTGGTGCACACGGGGCTTAATTGCGAGGTGTTCAAGTGAACTCTGATTGCCGCTGCTCCGAATCGTCTTCCTACTCCTGCTCCTCGGCCAGATTCCTGTCCAGCTCTTTTCGATGGCGTTAATTGGGCAACCGGAGCAGCAGCAGCAGCAGGCGAAACATTTGCTGCCACTTTGATGCCCTGCCGATGATACTCGCCAGCGAGCTGCAGTCCCGAAATTTGCATTTCAAGCAGCCCGCGATTTATGGCTCCTCGGAATCGGGGGAACTGCAGGGGCCCTGTGACGAATCCAATTATGAGGCGCGCCAGCTGAAGGATCCGGCGGGGATTCGGTGTCCAGGAGGAGGAGGTAGGGCGTCCCGCTCCACTGACGGGTGCCATGTGCCTGATGCGATAATGCGCCATCAAATGGCCATAAATAAAGCGCACAAAGCGGATTAAGCGTTTTGTTAACAGATTTATATTGAGCTGAATTATGAGCCAGCGGCGAGGCTGAGATTTAATGAGTCTCTCCCCCGAGATTCCAATGAGATCGGGATCGATGGAATTAGCTCGAGCTTATTGTCCCCTTGGGATGTAGGGTGAAATCATTGGGGGAAAGTATTCCAATTCAGTTTGGAATATTTAAACTTCGCTTAACTAATTTCCAAATACAAATTATGCCTGGGTTAACTTTGATTATATCTACCATAAAATTTCTATTAAAGTGTTTCTATTCTTTGACTTTAAATTGTGATTTATATTCAAAACATAAATGGTGCACTTTCATATTCTCTAAATGTCAATGTATTCCCCCTTGAGTTTTATTACTCAAGTTGCAAATATAAAATTCCTTTTCCAGTTTCTTGCCACAACTACTCTTTTTTTTAGTTGTTTCTATAGTTACCGAAAGCTTTGCATACCGACTTGGAGAAGAATATGAATTAGAATCGATGGTAAAAGCCAAACACGACTGTATGCAGATATTTTTGATAAATTCATGAGACCTTCGGATGGGAAATAAAGCACTGAAAGTTGCAACACAGACTGTGGCACCTTCGTACTCGAACTGCTGCCAAAAAAAAATATGTATGCCGGAAATTCGAGCTGTTATCGATTGGGAGAACATGCATATTGTATTTGTTTTTTTCCCCTGACCATTTGTTTATCGAATTTAAGTGCTCCCCAAAGGGGTAGAAAAACTGTGACATTCTGGGATGTGTTTGTCTATGTTTCGATGGGGGACATGAAGATGGCATCCCGGCTGAATGTTCACTTAAAGCCCGGCCAAAATTACAGCCACTGAAGAGGAAGACAGCTCACAAAAAATATCCGAAAAAGCACATAAAAACAGTCGGTTCGAAATTGCCCCCGAGGGCAGGCAATGGCAAATTGAGGCTGCCGCTGAAGAAGCCGCCTCACCTGGCCGAGGAGGAGGCACCAGGAGCAGCAGGAGTACCTGGAGAATTACCTGGGAGGTGGGGAGGATCATCCTCATCAGTCGATCGACGAGTGGCAGCCGCGTGCTGAACTCCAGAACCCAAAAACTGCAGAGAAGCAGAGGAGACTCCAGACTGGAGATGTCGGCATTTTGGGCTGAGCGTCGAATTAACCAAATTATGGTGGGCCCCATTGATCGATCCGAATTGTGGCCCGAACCCCCCCCCCCTAACTTACCAACGCCCCTGTCTCTGCGGCAGATGCTGCAATTTGCCTTAATGCCCAGGATTATGTTCGAAGCGACTGCGAAAGCTGCAAACTGTTGACTCTTTTTTTGCCGTGTCCACTCAAATTGGCGCATGTAAATTTTGCGTCTGCAAAAGTCGCAAACCCTTGGGGTCAGGTATATTGATTGGTACGATAAGTTGGCAATTGCCGATTTACTATATCTTGGTTTAAAGTCGAAGAATACTATTTCCTATTTAAAAAAAGAAAAGCTTGCTCTTAATACATTCGGTTTCAATTAGTTTGGGAACTATAAATGTTATGATCTTTATTTTCAAAATCATATCACATGTAGGGAATTTCGGGATAAACTTCGATCAACCACATACTTCGATTTTCACTCCGTCCTGCTTCTGGAATTTGGTCTCCTCCTTGTGTGCTCCTTATTTTCCTGACGCTGACATTTCTGTGTGCGCTGAAATATTTTTTGAATGCAGATTTTTCACTTAAAATTATTTCAATTACGCCAAGTGCAGGCCAAGGAGCCAAGGAGGAGGCCAAGGATTGCGACTTGGCTTTTTTGTCGACTTGTCCTCTTCTCCGAATGGCAGCTGCTGCTGCTGCTGCTGCAGTTCAGTTGTCGCTTTCGGAACTTCAGCTGCAAGTAGATTAAATGCCACAACCGCAAACAGACAAACTTGGTCAATTATTTTCAACGGCGGACACAAATTATTGATGCAGGCCCATCCCGCCCCGCCCCCTTTCCACTGAAAGGCAGGACGAGAGGAGTTCGGGGGAGGGGAACCGGGCTGAAGGAGCCTGGAGTTTTAAAAGCTGCCCGACCAAACCGCATCATCAATCTGGGAAAGAGTCGGTCCTCGTCGTCGTCATCGTCGTCGTCGTCTCTTCTCGAGCGAGAGGAGCGGAGACAATGGGCTCACTTCGCTCCCCGATTTTCTCGCAAAAGGTCTTCATTAAATTAGTGAAATGAGCAAGTCGCTGAGGATTCAGCTGCAGCTCAACTGGAGGTGGAACACTCTAAAAAAAAATAGCCTCATAAAGCAGAAAACTATTTTCTTAAAATATATTAAGCTTTAATTAAGATTTTTATCCGACTTTAGGGTTAAAGTAATCTGTAATTCAATCAACTTTTTTCAAACTTTAAAATACTTTATTATTTTACCAAGTGCACGATGGTTTTAAAGATCTTAGGAAGAGTTTGTTTCATTGAGGAACCACTGAAGGTTCGCATCTCCGAGCAGTCGCATTTAATGTCACAAATATTTGTTGTCAACTGTCAATTGAGTTGGACGGACTAAGCTACTCGATCGATACTCGATACCAGGCGATTTCAAGAGATACAATGGGTGACGAGTTAACGAGAACTCCAGGTGATCCTCCGTGCTGCATCGCCATCGATGATCCGATCCCCCGATTTTCGCTACTTCGATCTGCCACTGAGGAATCGCAAATGGGTTGCTAAATTGGCTCCACTGGCTGGGTGGGTCGAGCGTTCGATTGAACCATCAATGTCTCATCAAAATACGCTCGGTTTGGGTGGTGCTGCGGTTGGCAAACGGGGAGCCAGAAAACGTGGCTTGCAGCTATTGAATTACCAACACATTCGGTCGGTGCAAGTTTACAATTTCATTCTCGGGCGATGCGAAATCCAAAACCAAAATAATTGTGCTCCCCCTTGCTTCGTTTTGACCATGGCTAATGGGGCCACCGCATGACGGGGCAATGTCAGAACGAAACAATGTCCAATAGCTGATGGCTAATTTCTGTTTTTGTTTGTTATTAATTTCTGACACTGCCTCTCAAAATGTTGGCCTATTGATTGCACCAATTTCAGCTGATGGCGGAATTAGCATGGATTTTTGGCGCAGTTTTTACCTCAGAATTCCATTCAAATGGGGTTGACATGAATTTTTCCTTGTCTTGTTTACACACTTCCAAATTTTTGACTTTATTACCCATATATGAACACATTCCCGAATAATCTTTAGTTTGGTATTTTATTGAAATAGAATTCTCTTGTTGTTAGTACTTAAATATTTGGTTATATGTTATGTCTTTAAGCTCTGGTTTGGCATTAAAACTAAGTAGGCAACTCAATGGAGGAGTCCATCGATTAGATAGCAGCCCAAACCCGATCCTAAGTCTTTGATGTGAGCCAGGCTCAGTTCTTGAAGGCCCTTCTCCACTCCTTTGGCATTGGCATAAGATAAATGTTGGGACTTACGAGCTAAGAGTATTTTGAGCGATTCCCACTTTCAAGTGGGAGCCAGGATATCCGATAGATATGTTTTTGAGCACACTGTCCTGGGGAAAGTCTTAGCTACTAGTGACTAGACTAAGGTATCAGAGGAGCCGTATTCATGAGCGGGACGCAGTCTTTGGCTCCTGTCTCGAGTCATCCCATTCCGAGGTCGTTCATCAGGTGTTCCCTGATCACCTGTCCCTCCTCCTCCGCGATTAATTGGGCTGTGACCGTGTTGACCAGGTTAAAGGCGATTCCGAAGGCGCTAAATAAGCACCACACACCCAAGGCTAGCCAGCGAAGGGGGCGTGGCCGCAGTCCGCCATCCAACTGCCGGAGGAGCAGGAGACCCACACTGATTCCAGCCAGAGCTCCGGTCATGTGGGCAATGTACGAGACAGCTGGTCGAGTCTGGAGGTGATGCATTGCCATTTCCCGGGTGTACAAAGCATAGCCCAGATCGCAAAGGACTACAGAAGATATTAAATACAGAAGTTCCTATGAAAATGAGAAACTGTTCTCTACTTGTATTTCGTATTTCTATAAATACACTTTTTTATAAGTAGTAATCAAACTAGTAGATATAAGAAAACAAAGTAAAAACTCACCAAACACAATCACAGCCAAAAGCTGGAGAACTCCATGTCGCATCTGGCCAAAGTTGAGCAAAAGACTCGCCAGTTGGGCGGCCAGCAGAGCGTAGACACCGCCACTGGCACCCACCAAATAAACCTCCGAGTCCACCACAGAAGTGCCCAAGGATCCGGCCAAAACTCCGGCCATATAAATGACCCCCGTCCTCAGCGATCCATGTACCAACTCCAGGGGAACACCAAAGAGCAGCTGGGTGAGCACATTGTAGCCCAGGTGGAGCCAACTGGCGTGGAGCAGGGCGTAGCTCAGGAATCTCCAGAGCTGGAGCCGCTTGTCAGGACGATAGATGAGGAGAGAGTCCTCGGGTGGATCAGCATTGACCCATAGAAACACAAGGATCTGTGTATTTGGGGGAAAAATATGGAAAATTAAAATTAAAGAGGATGTTAAGTAGATTACTTCCAACTATTAAAGTGCCCTCTTCGGTATTAGTTAAAAGTACTCATCAATTGTAATTAATATTTAATTGCTTTATGAAAACTTGCCAGCTCAAACCCTTTCGAATAAATTAAGCAGACAAAATGCCATTACGCACTTAACTTTTAATGACTTTGCAAATACGAAACCTATATGTATTCACTTATGCATACCTACATATATTTCATTCTCCATAATTCCCTTTTATCCCGAACTAGTTCCGAACCACTTGAAAAGCACTCAGATTGGGGGAAGCCCCATTCCCGTTTGCGGCCAAAGGGGCAGCAATAAAATCATCAAACCCGCACAGCCGAGACAGCTTTTCTGGAGAAGGGGTGGCGAAAGCAACCCCCAAAGGCGCAGACTGCCAGTAGACAGCGACGAGACGTCGCCATCAATTCCCCCCTAACCCCCCGGTTTCCCCTCACCTCCTTTTTCCTCTTTCCCCCTATATACCCCATTATTTCCGCCCTATTCCCGCCTTATTCCCCTTTTTTTCTGTGGCCTGGCGGCGTCCAGTCTGTGTGGTGTGCAAAAAGCCAGACGCGGAAAACAAATCGTAGACGTGTTGGATTTTTCGCACGCACTCTGTATCCCTTCTTCTGGCCAAAGTCCCCTTCTTCTGCTCCCCGTTTCCATTCTACTCGTATATCCTTTAACCGGAAGCCAACATCCATTTACAAATGCACTGGACTGGGAGGAGGCAAGGTCTAAGTCGTATTCTGTGTGTGTGTGGCCCTGTCGGCAATTTGTTTGCCTCAAAAGTCAATTGCTCGACCAGATCTCCGATGTGTGTGGGGGAATCGCAAGGCGAACTTGGGGGCCATTCGGCTGGGGGATGGGAGCTGGGGCTGAAATATGATACAGCATCTTTGTTATGGCCAAACAAACAAACGTTGGTCATCTCGTTTAACTTGAGATACAAAACGTGCGCCAGACGTGACTGCAAGATGCTGGGCATTGCGGATCCGAATACCAAATGTGGGGTTAAGGGCAGTAATGAAAATCGGACAAAAGCAACTTTAAATTAGTGGGAATACTAAAGACATGGCTGTGGAATTATCAGACTTAGGTAATTTAACTTATTGGGTTTAGTTATTCAATAGATTCAAATAGAAGGACACTTTCCTGTTTAAACATCCCTAAAAAAAACTTAGAAAACCAAGTTTTCTCATTATTCGAGAGCCTGCCAATCGTTCAGCTTATCCTTACCCTTGAAAAAGTTATAAAAGGCACATCTCAAAGATTGAGGACTTGTCGTATAACAAGTAATAGCCCAGACAGCAGTCAGACACAAAAGATCAGGGGTGAGCCGAATCCAATATGTTGGCTAACCCAAGGGTTGCAGTGCACTTTATATAAGCCAACAATTAAACGGACCAGAATGTGGCCAGAATGTTGTGCTTTTATAGGCGATGTCATGGCAACATTACCCCCATTGCCATCCCCAACTTGAGGCCACCCCCAAAATGTGGCTTTTATGACCCTCAATCAACCCTTGAGCGCAATCGTAATCGCATTAAAAAGCGGTCACATTTGGCGCCCAACGTGGGACGATGACTACTCACCTCCAAGAGCGAGGCAAGGATAATGAAAAAGGGTGGGGCCCAGTTGGGTGTCGTGCTTCCCTCAAGATGCTTCGCCTTGTAGTGCCCCCAATCCGGAGGACCTTTGGATGCCACTGAACCGGGTGATCCGAGTGCGCCGGGTGCCCGATGCACCGGCTGCACAGCCATCAACTGGTCACAGCAGACGCCCAGCACCAGGCCGGATTTCGATGAGGACGGAGCCGGCGGCATTTGCAGAACGGTACTGGGCGGCATCTCCTTTACCACCTCCTCCTCGTTCTCCTCCTCCCCCTTTTGACAGAGGGGTCTATTTTTGGGGCGTCTGCCTTGTGACGGTGCCCCACTTAGCCGGAGCAGCTGAGGCGGCTTCTGTCATGGTGAGATGAGCGGAATGCTGTCTGGCCCCAAATGGCGGACTTCTGGAAAGAAGAGAAAAAAGATCACTCAGCAAAATAATTTTTCAAATTTATTTCAATTTTTTAAGGAATGAAAAAGTTGGAAAATTTTCATATCATGTTAATTTAATATATTTCATTTTGCCCAAGACGATACTCACATAATTAGATTAGATTAGATCAGGAAATCAGCTTTAAAGTAAGTTCTTGTAAGTTGGTACTTTGATTTGTTTCAAAAATGATTTTCATGATAATTTTTTTAATGATTTTAAGTGCTTTCCTTCCTAATTCCCTTTTTCGCTCAGTGCACAATAGGATTACGAGGTGCAGACTATGGCCAAATTAGCTCAAGGTTGTCTCTCATTCTGCGACTGTCTCCGTCTTTGACGACAACTGCAGCGCAATTTCTCCCCGACGCGTCTCGATTTGGCAGACGACGACATTCGACATCGCCAGAGGCGCCATCAGTCAGGTCTATATCCCCCGGTCTTCCCCCCGCGACCACCCCCTTCTTGTTCCCCCTTTTAATAGCCCTAGACGGCCATAAAAGAGTCAAGAATTTATTTCTTTTTTTGCACTCGCAAGAAATTTATTTCCGCTGCGGCAGAAGCGAAAAGAAAAGAAGGCCAAAATGCAACCCCGAAAGTGCTCAAACTTGAGATTAAGACGGAATTCGAAATTGTTACCCGGCGAAAGCCGTCGAAAGAATGGCCGAAAGGCAGTTTGCAATAAGCCAAAAGGCTGTATATGGTTATAAAGCCAGTCAAACCTATGATCATAAATCTTGAAATTAAATGTTGCATAAAAAAGTTATGTATGGTACAGAACTATTAGAGTTGGTAATTTATCATACCAAGTATATAGGACAAATGTTTAAGACGTTCGCCTTTATACTCGTAGACTTTTGCTATATGCTCATGGCACTTGTTAAATAAATCTTATATAAACAAATTATGTTAAACCAGAATTTTTCCTTATATTTGGTTTATATTTCTACCAACAACAACCAATCGCGATCAATTTTAGTTTAAACGAATAGGTAGCAATCCTTATGGGTAGTCTAAGGATAAATACAATTTTATGGGCTACTAGTTTCAAGTGACCAGCAAATAACTCGTTCGCCGACTAATCTTAAAGAAACAGTGAGCTTTTGGCCTAGGCTTAACTACTTTATGTGCATGTTTTGGTTTTGCCTAGTTTATGTTTCTGGTTTATTTTCGGAGGCACTCGGTTGTGAGGTCCCATGGCGTGTCCTGTTCCTTTCTGGCGTGTCCTGTTCGGTTCTGTTGTGGTGCAGTTGCTCTTGGTAATGAGTTTTAATGGTGATTACCTTTGGCCCAGCACAACAGGGATAGTGGAAGGTCCTGTCGAGCTCTCTCGGTTTCCCAAAAACTTGTTTCGCAGACGGAAGTGTTGCTCTTGGTCTTCCCCTTAATGATCCTGGCGCACAACTGGCAAACCGGTTAATGGATCCGAGTATGGGGACCGAGGGGCAGGCGCATGCCAAAAACTGTAAAAATATCGACAGGTGTATCCTTAATGTCCTCAAACATCGATTCCTGGTAGCCTCGCCAGCTCGTTCAACTTGGTCTGCCGCTTTTTCTGCCGTTGTCCTTGGCACGCAACTTATTCGTGTGCAGGACACTGAAACGCACAATATCCTTGAAACCAACATCCAACTTCCTCTGCCCCGTCCTCGTTTCCATCCCCTGTCCCCACTTCGTCCTTCGTCCTTCTCGTTTTTGTTGTTTACCTTCCTGCTCGGCTCATTTGGCAAAGGCAAAAATCGAAGTTCAACTCGCCGTTGAAGTTGATTATGCAAGCCAACCTCCATCGGTGTGCCGCCAGTATTTGTTCTTCTTTTCTCGTTACACAGAAAATAATATTTCTAAATCATGTTATGTATGTTTAATACTTTAAATTGTTGTATGTTTACTATCTTGTAATTAACTGGAAATAAGCAAGTGACAAGTTAAACAACTCAATTAGCTGAGTTGAGAAGAATATAATGTTAATATACTCATCTTGTTTGCTAACCCCCCACCCACCTAATAAAGCCTTTAACTTAGGTACACCTTTATTTTCAAATTTAGTACCCTATAAACATATCGCTTTTATTTGCCTTAAAGTGGGTGGTAATTGGTTTATTCAATCTATTTTCGCAGTGCCCTGCTCCTTGAGCTTCTGTTCTAGATTTCCTTAGTCGACCGCATTTTGTGTTTGCATTGGGCAAACATTTCATTTACATAATGCTGACTATTTGTGTTTGCATTATTTGCTTGCCATTCCTTCGCCCCAAGTACATACTTTCCTTGGGTTTTCAAATATGTGAGCATATCCCCACCCGTTTTTAGGTATTTTCTTTTATTGATTTATGCGGTCCAATGGGCCAGCTAAATTGGCCCGAAACACATTCGAAATTATTTTTCAATTCCTGGGGAAATGCTCCGCGCGGAGATTTCCCTCCTGAGTAAATACGTGCAGTTGCAGTTGGCAAGCGAAAGGGCGAGAGACAAAAACAAATTTAATTACTGAAGCCGCAGGGTGCACCACCCAAAAGAAATAGTAAGAGAGAAATGTACGGAAAAAATACATAATTACAACGCGGCTTAAATGCCTTTGGGTCGAGAGCAAAAGTTATGGAAAACGAGTTGGCAGCTCCCTCGACTCGGAGTCAGTCAGTGGGCGGGTCGAAAAGTGAAAGAATAACGAAGAAAGTTACTTTAACAAAACGCAACAACAAATGAACTGCAAACAACAACAAGACGGCGAACATGAACTACCAACAATGACGAGAAAATTATTATAAAACTATAATTGAAAAATGTTTACCAGGTGGGTGGCTCCTATGTAGGGAGCTGGTGGGATCAAAGAAAAATTTACGGTCGCTTACACAGAGGGAATTGATATCCACAGATCTGCACCATCATTTTTGGTGTAACACATAAGTTTTTTCTTCGAGTATAAATAAAATGTATAAGATTTTAAACAAACAATCACTGTTATGTAATAATATTTTATCTGAATTCAGAACTTTTCTGAGGATTATATTTCACAGGAGACCTAATAAAAAAGGTAGAAACCAAAAATAAGTGTAATTATTCAAGGACTAAAGTAATAGGGTTTAAAACGGTTGCAAGGTCTAACCCATGATAAAGTTCACACATTAATCTTTAGCACAGTGAACAGTAATATGTATGTACTTCAAAGGTCACCCATGGCAGCTTTCACTGTAGCCCAACTCTGGGAAAGGTTTTCACTTTTTTTAATTATTTTAAAGGTTTCTTTTCGCATTTCTTGTATGAGACGATAATGAAGCGTTATGAAAGATGTACATGGAAAGCTCAATGGGGTGGGGGATAGTAAAGCTAGTAGAAAGGGGGAGGCATTGACGCCCAAAGTCTTAGCTGGTTTCACAATAAAATTCCGACAATTGAAGCGAATGCGATTAAAAGTCGCGCACGCCATCTCAAAAGAAATGCCAAGAGGGGCGGTGCACGGAGAAAAATGAGAGGGGGCTGTGAGGGGGGCAAGTGGAGCATCGCGATAGCCGGCGACTTGAAATTCTCAAGCCGAGCAACTGAGAAACAACGGCCCACGCAGGCTTCAAAGTTCATTTCCATTCGGGTTGCATGTCAAGTTGCAGTGGCAAAGGAGTGAAGAGAGGCGAATGTGGGAAGCGGGCTAGCCCCCTCTCACTCCATTCTATTCCCCTCTCGCTTCCTCGCACTCGATGAATGGTCTTTCTCTTTGCTTTCAATTTAATTGTAGTTTCTTTTTGTTTTTATTGCGTTTTTGTGTGTCTGCTGCTTACGTTTTAATTTCATTAACTTGTGTTTACTGTGTGAAACACTTGCCCTTACTCGGACTCCCCTTCTTTCCCCCCTTTGGACCGCCCCTGGGCTATAAAACGCTTAACATAAAACATAAACCAGCAGAGCTTGCCTCTGTTTCAGTTGTTGTTTGCTCAATTTCAACAGAAGAATGGAGCAGAAGCTGTTCTTGATGTCGAGTTGAGATTTCAAAGATTTGGAGCAAGCAACGGAACTGAATTTTTAGGCTGGCCAATTCGTTGGTGGTCCAAACGTCAAAGAGAACCATAGTTAGTTTTGAAAGTATAGAAATAAAAAACGAGGAGCAGTAATTAAATTTAAAATGGGGCAAAATAAAAAGTTTCCCACATTTCTTAATTGCTTTCCTTTATCTGAAAAATAGAGAAAAAAATCGCATCCATATTTCCCATACCGGGAATTGAACCCGGGCCTTCCGGGTGAGAGCCGGATATCCTAACCACTAGACAATATGGGACTTGGACTTCGATACCACGAACATGATTAAGGATTTTGGTATTACCTATTTATAGATAAGAAGACCCCTGGGATCTTTAGTTTCTTGAAATTATGTTTTTAAATCGTATAAAATTAAGGGGTTTTCTAGATATTATTCATTTTTTAATACAGGAAATTTATAAATATTTTTATAGATATTTTTTAAAAAATACTGAGTTGTTTTTGATTTACAAAAAAAAAAATATATCAACCATATAGTTTCCCATACCGGGAATTGAACCCGGGCCTTCCGGGTGAGAGCCGGATATCCTAACCACTAGACAATATGGGATATGAATATGTGGCGCGCCAGACGCCAACTTAACTGAAATGGCAAGCAAGATCGTTTTTCGTTCGCCACTTCAAACTCGTGCTTTGTTTTTACTTTTGAAGATTTATTTTGATCGGTGGCTATTTTTACCCACTGAATCACAAAAATCCAAACACAATGACGAATGTAAATTACCCATGGATTGGATCGGATAGGATTGATATGGAATGCAAAGCGTCGGCATATGCTTATAATTCTGCCAGTCAGATCTGTGGAAAACCGCAAATTTCCCTCTCCGCCGTTTTACCCTTTTCTTTTCTCGGTGAGACAGACCTGCTTAAGTATTTATGCCTTTTCGTATATTTCTACGACTTCGCGTCAATGCACAAATCAGTTAACGTCCGGCAGACGACAACGGACGATGG